TACACACAGATGCCTCAATGTTTGGACTGGGAGCAGTATTGAGCCAGGTGGGAGATGATGGCATGGATCACCCGGTGGCGTATCTGAGCCGAAAACTATTACCCCGCGAAGTCAGCTATGCCACTGTGGAGAAAGAGTGTCTGGCATTAGTCTGGGCACTTAAGAAACTACAACCCTACTTGTATGGACGCTCTTTCACAGTGCTGACTGACCACAACCCTTTAATTTGGCTTAACAGAGTAGCTGGCGATAACCCCAGACTACTCAGATGGAGCTTGGCACTGCAACCCTATAATTTTACAATGCAGTATCGTCCCGGGAAACAGAATGCCAATGTCGATGGCCTGTCCCGGCAAACTGAACTGGAAAAGTAGTTATTTTTGTTTGTTTCTCCTGTGCTACCGGACATCCCTTAGCCGACCCGTTAGGATCTAAGCAGGTATGCCGTTCCATGGGACTAAGGGGGAGCTGTGTAACGAAATCCCCTATTTACAGACTATACGAACAAGCCTGTTCGGTTATTTGGAGAATTACAGCGGGATTTCGTGGAAATAACAATAAATGCGAATGAACTACCGAACCACCGACCTCCCACTGAGGTCGTGTGGCGCCTATTGACCACCCTGACTGTTGCGGTTAACCACAGACTAATTGGTGAATAGCGGGTGGTCCGCGTTCATCTACCGAACACGTGGCAATCACCATTTTGTATTGTCGAACGCACAGCGGTAAATGGTGAGGATTCCCTGGAACTGATTTCGGCTACCAATTTTGTCGAACACCGCTGCTACCTTCACCCATCCTCGTTCATACGGTGGAAAAATACATGAATGAAGGGGTACTACTTCAATCGTGCGCTAAAGTATGCGAAAGTGGCCGACCCCAGGTAGCTATAGTATGGAACTTGAAGTCGGCTGCAAACACACGAACGGCCGGTGAAAGTCAAACTTCGGTCGACGATTCTGAGAACTGTGTTCGTGGGATCTGAGCACTATTAGCCTAGAATATGCCCTCAGATCCAAGCTATCTGGGGATATGTGGAACTTAAAGTTTATGTTGTGTAAAAATAAAGTTATATATTTTTATTCTGTTTTGCTAAATAAGAAAAGCCATGCTTCTTTCTTCCTGGAGATAATTAAGGCTCTCTTTGCTACCTTAAGTTAATTATCTCCAGGATGGAAAAGAGGGAGTGATTTATGTAAAAGGGGAGTGCTTATGCTATAGCCACTGTGATTGGCTACTGTGTTACTTTTGTCCCAGTCTTCCATCTGGTCCCTTAGGGGAGTGTCTACCAGGTGGAAGACCTGCATAAATACCGGGCGGGTAGCCCACAGTAAATCAGATCGTTTTACCCCTTCATGAAGTCTCGACTCATGTTTGGGGGATTGGGAGTTATAATCACTTCGTTTCAGTTGGATTTCGGGAGAAGCTGCAAGGATCATCGCTGCACGAATGCAAGGATCCTTTACAAGGGGAGACCAGCATGACATTGAAAAAAAAAAGTGAGTAAAACTATTTTTAAAAACAAACACAGACACCACGACAGACACACACACACACCCCATGGCACATACATATACCATGACAGACACACACACACACCATGACAGACACACACACCATGACAGACACACACATACCATGACAGACACACACATACCATGACAGACACACCATGACACAGACCATGACACAGACAGACCGTGACACAGACAGACCGTGACACAGACACACACACACCATGATACAGACAGACCATGACACAGACACACACCGTGACACACACACCGTGACACAGACACACACACCATGACACAGACAGACACACACACACACACCATGACACAGACAGACAGACACACACACCATGACACAGACACACACACACACACACTACCACTGACAGACTGACATACATACTTTTTGCTACCTGTGGGTGGGCAGACAGATAGGGGTGCTGGCGGCCGCAGGGAGAACTTGGATGGCGGCCGCAGGAGGAGCAGGCTGTTCTGTCTCTGCTCCCCAGCACGCAGCTTAATGAGACCGGGACCGGAATATGACATCATATTCCAGCCCCGGTCTCATTAAGCTGCGCGTGAGGGCGGTGGAGAAGAGACAGAACAGCCTGCTCCCCCTGCGGCCGCCATCCAAGACACTCTATTAGTTTTATCATTGCTGTGTCTGTATGGGAGTGGGAGCCTGTTTCATTGCTCCTTGTGTAACACTGGTTAGGTAAGTGCTGAGAGTAGCCAGCTAGTGCCACTAGCACCAACTTTGCGTGGGTGAGGGAAAACTTGTATAATTAATATCTTCAGGGGCCTGGTCAGCGCTGTGGCCGTGTAATAGCACGACCGGGCCCCTTTAAAAAAAAAAAAAAAAGCTGCCGCAGCAAGTGCTGCTTGGAGGAAGTAGTCACTTCCTCCCTGTTCACTCCGCGCGGGAGGAGCGCCAGCCAGGCCGTGAAGAGGGAGAGCCGCGCCAAATCCTATCAGCCCCAGCCACCCTCCTGCAAAGAAAAGGTAAGAAACAGGAGGGTGGCTGAAAAATGAGCTATGTGTGTGTATGTATGTCTGTATAAATGTATGTCTGTATGCATGCATGCATGTATGTATGTATATATGTCTGTATGTTTGTCATTATGTATGTATGTCATTATGAATGTATGTCATTATGAATGTATGTATGCATGTATGTCTGTATGTCATTATGTATGTATATATGTATATCTGTATGTCAGTATGTCAGTATGAATGTATGTCTGCATGTCATTATGAACGTATGTGTGTATGGATGTCAGTATGCATGTATGTATGTCTGTATATATGCATGTATGCCAGTATGAATGTATGTCTGTATGCCATTATGAATGTATGTCTGTCTAGGTATGTATGAGTTTATGGATGTCAGTGTCTGTATGCCTGTATGTCTGTCTGTATGAATGTATGTGTGACGGACCGCTGGCACTCCGACCGAGTACCTCCGCCAATCGATGCTCCTAGCGCTTGCCGAGGACTCCGAGCACTCCAACCGACACCATCAGCACTGCGGACTCCACTTCCAGCGATTCAGCTGCGCCGGGGTCTCGCCGTCTCTCACCCACCCTGGATCCATGACCAGGATCCAGCTCCCAGTGGGTGAACTTTTCCTAAATCCAGAGAGTGTAGCAGGAACAAATCAAGCTCTTACAAGAGCTTACTCTGGGGAGTAAGTGATTATAGCAATCCCCAGAGTGTAGATATCCCTTCCCCCAAGCATGAGCCAAGGATTCAAGAAAGGTGCAAGTAGGTCTGGTTTATTGAGGGTTACCTGCCCGGTATTTATGCAAGTGTCCACCAGGTGGACACTCCCCTAGGGGACCTGATGGAACAATGGGACACATATTGGATATTAGCCAATCACAGACAATACAAACAAAACACTCCCACAGTGACATCACAATCCCTACTCTCTATCCTGGAGATAATTGGGAAGTAATCAAATTATCTCCCAGGACAGAGGCAAGACTCCATTAACCACATGGTTACAAAAAGACATAAAATTACACAATGTTACAATTACTACATAAAACATATACATGCAACATATCCCCAGATAGCTTAGATGTGAGGGCACATTATTACCCAATGGCGCTCAGATCACATACATACAGTTCAATCGCCATGGAGCCAAAGTCTTTTCCATAGTCTTTCATTACACGAATAGGCTCCATGGCATAGCTATCTGGGGTAGCACTACTCACATACTGAAAGTCCCGAACGCCCCGGCAGAAATACACAAATAAACCTTTCTGCAGGGTAAAATACAGCTATCAGCACAGGGGCCATAGTCGGAAGGCAGGAGGCTAGCCAGTAGTCCCCTCCAGGGAAAAGTGGAGAAGGGCACTTCGTCACAGTATGTATGTATGCCTGTCAGTATGTCTGTATGTATGCCAGTATGAATGTATGTATGCCTGTATGTCATTATCAATGTATGTCTGTGTGTGTGTATGTATGTATGTCGGTGTCTGTATGTATGTATGTATGTGTGTATGCATGTCAGTGTCTGTATGTATGTCAGTGTGTATGTATGTGTCTGTATGTCCTCATATATGTGTGTCTGTATGTATGTTATGTGTCTGTCTGTCACTATGTATGCCTGTGTGTCTGTATATGTGTGTATGTCTCAGCATGTGTGTGTCAGTATGTATGCCTATATTCGTGTATGTCTGTTTC